GTTGTTAAACTTATCGATCAGATGGGTTTAACGAATCGTCGTCATTGCGTAGAAATGTGCGAACATTGTATAAGTGATAAGCCAGATGCTTATCTGTTATTACATCACCAAAAAGTGCTTCGTGAAAGGAATTGGGACAGTTATTGCACGTCGGTATAGTACGGTGATAAAAATGGGCGTTTTTGGGGAAGAAAATTGGAATTAGGATCTCGCTTATTATCATGGGGTTCGTTAAGGTCGAAATAATGTTTACAAAGGGATTCAATTTAGGTGTGTTTTGTCTGCCTGCGTACAACCTTTAATTACATTTACATACTTTGTGGGGGAGGGGAGGGGGCGGTTATTGTTTCCAACCACTTCACGACCGATGGAAATCAATCCTTTCATTAAAGCCACCAAGAAAGCGATACAAGCGTCGTCCGAAAAAAATATTTTTCCATTCTACAGATGTTGCAATTAAGAACAGAGATCACTCAGCTTCATTTAAATCAGACTTCGACAATAAGGCAAATATCGTAAAAGTAGCTTCAAGGTAATTAATTATCCAAGTGAAAAAGCAAACGTTTTTGGAAATCGTGATGATTAATGGTAACCGCTTCTTGATATATCTGTCTGTCTGTTAGAACCTTATAAAAAAGAACTGGCTGGTACAAATGGATCACGAAGGGTTGTCGATTTGAACGCAGGGGAATTGTTTTCTTTATATTGGCAAGGATGGACTCCAGAGATTAGACCGCATATGCACCGAGATGGAAAATAAATTTTCGAATGTAAAATTCAACACTCAATAAATAATAAATTTTTCATTTGTAGTCTAGTGAGATTTCAACGTTTTACGGCAAGTGATGTTTGTTTAACAGTGAAAATCGTTTAAAAATTTACATCCAGATATCGACGTAAAATAAAATTATTGGCCACGGCCATCTTCGTACAAAAATATATAATATTAAAACGAAAACTCAATATAATCTGAAACTATTTTAACATTATTAATGGTAAAAGGGTTTTTACTGGCGGACAGAACGATATGACTGGTGAGCCGCAGGCGATGTGTCTCACTTGTAAATAACTATTATAAACTATTAAAAACTCTAGAAGGTCCAATATTTGAAGAAACATCGTATGAGCTCTAGACGTATTGCCTTGGAAACGCACGTCAGCATGGCACTTATCATAGTACTTATTGTGTTGTCTATTTCTGTCATTTCCATGAATTGAGATGAGTGTGGCGCAAGCTATATTACTGAGGAAGCAGCAATTGTGAGTGAAAATTTGCCTGAATCAACTTTGTCTGTCATTTCAACTTATAATAGTTTAAAATACATGGCTGTATGAACACGAGCAGGGCTGTAAAAATTTTACAGGCTATAGCCAGTTAAGTGACATTTTCATGTTGAATACAGTGACTTGGTAAATTGATGTTTACAAGTGAGGAACAAGTAAAATACTATTACACGTTAGAGTATTCTACCTTTGTGTAAAATTCATGCTGTTGACAATTAATTGTGTGGCTGCGGTACGGAAGCAAATTGGGCGTTTTGTACAAAGTGTTTTTTTTTAGTAATAAGGAAGCATTTGAATAATCTTATCTATTATTTACTTCATATTGTCGTTGGTATAAGAATAAGCATGACGTGGCATTCGGTCAAGAAGTAATCAACAGCGGAAAGTGTACAATTCACAAATTATTAGTTACCAGAAGAACACAGGATTTGTCACGTCTTCATTTAAAAACGTACTTTATACATAGATAAAAGAAAATTCGATTGTGCGCTGTTGTAAATATTGTAATAGGGTTTTTACTTGTTAAGGCTGGAAAATAAAAAAAGTAAATACATTGCTTAAATCAAAATTTGCACAAGAATAGTAACACTGCCGTCTTTCTTTTAGAATGTAAATCGCACATTAAAGAATTACAGGACGAATTCTTAACAGTCCAAATAAAAAATAACATAGGTATGTAATCAAGTCTCAATTGTTGTATGTCCTAAAGTACATGTACTATCTTGTACCATTAGTGCAATCAATAATACATAAAAATTTAAGGATCACCAGTTAATGTTGTATTGATTAACGAGTATATGTAACCGTGTTTGGTTTTCGAAGTACAAACACACATGATCGATATTATCAAATTTAAAAATAGGTTTCAATATTTCTAGGTACTATAAAAATTCGAATATTCAGTTTCTACTGCTTCGTTTTAGGTACTAATAATAATTGTTAAATGTATTTTCTACTTTAAATTAATTTTGACGGTCAGTACTGTTTCAGAACACGTTAAAATTTATGCCGTAAATACTTTATTAATTCATTTGCCCTCCGCAAAAAAAGGTAAATAAACCCACAAACGCATAATATGATAAAATTACTTCTTTAAAATGCCTTAGTTTTCAGAGGTCACGACATTCTTCGGGGAAATGTATCTCAATTATTTCATCTAATCTCACCTTTTTTGAAAGAAATATCCAGATTGCCCGGTTGTCTGAATTTATCTGTATTAAATTACTTTTTGTGGCGCATTCGCCTTCTAAAGACTCTGGAATACTTGACCTAATTAATTCTCATGAATCGAAAAATTCTAAAGAATCTCCCTGGAAATTGCGGCGCTTGCACTTTTTGCCGAATGTAAATGAAGACAAGAGTCTATTTTGGGTACTCGACTAGTTTTTCAATAATTCAGGCCATTCTGCTAATTATTCCAATCAAACGTTTAACCTCAATACGAAAATAGAAAACACAAACATTTTTTTTAACGTCCAGCAGGAACTCGTAAGTTTACACGTACGTATGTACCTTTATCACAGAGTTTCGTACTGTGGATTTTTATTGGTATTCGAGAAATAAAAAGTCAGAGATAGATTACACATATTAGATTCATACACAAGAAAAAGGTGTTTTGCTATAACGGAGGAGGCACTAATGAATTATTTTTGTTTACATTTTAGTATATACACCATTAGTTTGGCAGTTTCAAACGTAGTAAACAACGAGCAGAATGTTATAATTATTTGAAAAGAGAAGCAAACATTTTTTTGTGTTTCTACGCTACATAGAGAGTTGCAGATCCAACAACGCTCTTAGTGCACGCAACATAACACGGAGAAATACATATGACATGAAGGATCTGGGAAAAGAATCGTTTTTATGACACGGTCGTATAACTTATTTTTTTTTTAAAGTTTCCGAAGAGAACAAATTAAATGTCAGCAGTGAGTGGAGGCTGATTTAAGACTTTCGGACTACGAGCCTATGACAAGTTTATTACTGTTTATCCCAAAAGTTAAGCAAGTTATTCCCTACAGCCAAGCAGTAGTTATAGATTCTTATATATGATTAACACATGTATCTTCGAAAAAATAAAAGAAAGAAGTAAAATAATTTCAGTAAAATACAACCTCGTTTATGGGGAGGTTTCGTATTTGAAAATCGGCTGCCGGTGATGTTAAAAGTAAGCGACAAGCTAAAAGCTTGTGTTTTAATAATGGCTTATCGGATTCGAAACTAGACCTGAGTTACAAAGTTAAAACAAGTAATTTAATCTAGACATAAAACTAAAGTTTGAAAAATTAGTTTAGTTCAATTCTTTCCTTCACGTTTGCAAATATTAATTATTCTGTTGCACACATATTTTTCACTTTAGAAATTATGTGTACATTAGCCTGAGAGTTACGTTTTAGTTGTTTTGAGTATGAAGCAAAACTACCCACGACTTTTGCTCATTGAAGTTCCAATATTTGACATGATTTTTCAGTTTAGCGTATCCAAAGAAAATCAAAATCAGGAAAATAGCGCCCCACCTAACATTTTCGAAATTATTATGACCAATTTAAGCGCATCGGAAAAATATTTTAAAATGAACATCTGTGTAAAAAAAGGAGATGAATATTCTATATATTCTATATATTGAAAAATAGTCTTTGATATATCAGAACTTATAATTGTAGGACAGGCACTAGCACTCCGCACGATTGTGAATCCCGTGTTTCGGCCTTGTAGATAAATTTAAAATTCCAAATTACATCACGAGACGCGACATGAACTGACAGAAAAGTTATTACGCAAATAAGCTTTTAAAAGAAATCCAAACACAACATGCAAAACGCCCAACAACAGTTCAAATACAAAACGTGATGCGAATCTTAAACAACAGTCAGGACTAAAATACATGAAAATTTAAAATTTTTTCTAGCTTGTAGGCAACTAAAGGCGGCAATATATATCGAAAATATGCCAGAGAAACATTGATTAAATTTAAATAAGTGCAAAAATATCTAAAAAAGAGGAAGTTTAATCCCACGTTAAGTAAAACACCGTATTTAGAATAACGAGAAGCTCATCTAGACAAAGATAGTCACATGAACCCTACCTACGAATGTTTTGTAATGACAGTCACTTAAAGTGTCAAAATTATTGTCATCCATAAAAAGTGATTTGCTAACAACAAAGCAACCAACTTCTCTGATTTCTAAAAATTGGAAATTTCGCCATTCTGTTATGATCTTCTTTATCTTCTTTTGAATAAACGATAATACTATCTAGTCCGATTCGATATACTTATATTACCAATGACACATCAATTTGGTTTTAACGAGATCTGAATTTCGTCTAGGACAAGTGTCCCCTTCGAATTTACGATCGCAAATCCACCGTCTAGATTTGGATAAAGCAAATACACACGCTCCAAACCCCTTGATTGTGGCTCTCACCATCGCAATTAACCAATCAAGAGATACCATCGAATTAGCAATTCCCACTTAATCAGGCATAAACAAGCATTCGCAATTCAGTGCGGCTCGATACTAAAATCGCATTTGTCATATTTTTCGCCATCCCCAATCCAGTCTCGAACTCACCACCTGGGACTCGCCATCATCTGTAACAACGTGTCGATTTCCGCGTAAACACCATCAGTGCCCATCGATCGGTCGTGCGTGTCGGTCCCGGAGCGCTCACTCCGGGCCTTCGGCGGTCCTTCCGGATTCCTCCGGGATACTCACCAGCGGTTCGCGCGTTGGACTTCATCCGAGGCCACTGTGTCTTACACCATAAACCGGGTCGGCTCCCGCCTCCTTCCCAACGGCAACGGTAACGCTAACGGTAACGGTACTGGTGGCTCTCCCGCATGCAGTTCTTACGTACGCGTTGGCGCGCGTCGGGACGACTTCGCTCGCCGGAACCTGGGACTGTAATGGCGCTACGGCGAGAAGAGGAGTTGCGCGCGCCCGACTTTCCCAGGACCCGACATCAAATTATTGATCGCGAAATGCCACACGAAAATACACACGTATTGTAATGAAAATTGCATTCGGAATCCGGCAAGATGGATAAAGGCACATTTTCCGACACTTTCTTTCATAAAGGCTGCGTTATTGCCCGAGACGTGGCCAGATGGGGAAAACACTGTTTATATGGATGAGGAGATCGATCCGGGGGATTGATCGGCGGCGACGGCGCCGGGAAGAAGCAGGCTGCGGGCTGCGGGCTAAGGGTCGCCAGGGGTGGTGAGGCGAAGGCTTCCCGATATGCACCTACGAATAAGGGGTCAATATTGGAATACCTAGGTACTTGGGAGTACTACCTATTCGCATTCCTTCCGTAAATTAGTTGTCTTGGGGAAGGCCGAGTGTTTTTATTGAATTTTTGTGACTCGAGACATCTTCACAAATTTTCAGTTTTGTATATGTATATATCTGCAGCAGATATTCTTCACTTAAAGTATTAAAGTATATGCAGAACGTTCGATGCGACTGTCACTTGTATATTATTATCCTGTGTTTTTTAACACATCAGTTATTAACACATAGGTTTTTACAATAATAAGTTTAAATAATAATAATAATGGATAAAACCTGGTCAACCATCATGTTTGCTTTTGGGGATATGTCGATTTAATTAGAATGTAATTATAGGTAGGTATTTATTGTAAATCTCCTATCGTGAGTTATGTATAATCTCCTTGTCGAGTATTTTGTAACAACTTTATAAATTAATAACCTGCGTTTTTTTTTATTATTTCACTACATTTGCTTATTGTTATGCACCAATATAAAAACGTATGCATGCATTGAAAAATCAATTCTTCAATTTTCCTCCACACGTAAATTAATAATAAATGAATCTTAAATACAAACGTGGGACTTTATGTCCATCATACACGGGTAATAGGTCTGTAAATGTTTTTAATAGTATCTCTACAATAAAGATCATCCACATAACGAACAATAAGTAGCAATGCATTTTGGTTGTTTCACCTAAAACAAGCAAACAAACAATAATTTTGCTTGGAAGCCCTTCGAATCGTTCTTTACATATTGCCCTTTGCAAAAAAATTACCTTAAAATGCGTTGGTGATTAGCGTTAAGAATAATGAATAGCGGGAAGTAAATTTGCTTTAAGAATATCCTTACGTGAATTATTAAATGAAAAGCGACTTTTTAAGGCTCTTTTCTTTGTCAAGTCATTCTGGGATACAACATATGTCTAAAAGAAGGAAGTTAAGGGCTAATATCGAATTTAAACTTGATACTTTATGAAAAAGTGATGGGCTGTTAAAAAAAAGAGCGAATTTTCGGCCGGCGGAATTCAGTAATGCAGAAGGAAATTACAAGAGATCCTTGTTTAAAAAAAAGGTGAATTTCTTTCTAAGAAATCTAGATATGGTTAATGAAAGACTTTCTTACTCCTGTCAACGTGTTTTCAGTACTACATCCTCTACATTTTAAAACCTACCTACATTTAGATCTTAAGAAAGGGTTTATTCCGTGCAATATAAATTTACAATGTTATAAACAATAAACAGTCTGTTGATGATACAATTCACTCTTAAAATGCCATATTGCAGTCTTCTCTTTAAAGATTCATTCAACATTCAACGGCTTTTCTACGCCACCACTGAACCAAAACAATTTATATTTCTGACGAACGTTAAATGAAGGTTTTATTTCGATCCCAACATTTCCATTTCCAGCTACATTCTCCATTCGCTGTACGCGCCTTATTGCTGCTCGGTACGTAAGCGTTGTCAGCAATAAGTTTTGAAATACGCAGCTTACGGCACAAAAATTAAATCTTCAGCATCGTGTTCCAAACGCAAAATCTATTACGCATTTAATAAACAACCAAGGTTATTCCCCCTTATTAGTTGTACCAACAAAGTTGAAACCCTGTTAGAACTTACTTTGAGATTGTATCTGGTGTCAAATAATAATTCGTCTGAAAATCTTCTTATAGCCTAGAATCTACGGTGTACCTACACAGACTACGCTAATTTTGAAGGTGATCAACGATAAAATCGAAATGTTCAGTCATTTCGTGCGGGGCCACGTTTTCATGCGATGAGAATCTAGACGTGGTTTTGCCTTAAACCGCTGATCGTTTAGTCAACAGCTTTCCAAATGCGGGACAGATACACAGATATCTAACTAACGCCGATAGTTATTAACTTTCAACATCGGCTGCGACGCCTGAAAAACGACGTTGACCAAACATTCCAAAAACAAACCGAATCAATAAAGCGTCGCGAGTAGCTATTTCTGAGAAATCGTAGCGAGTTAATCAAGTTACAGGAAGGGATGCGAAAGAACATATTTCTTGGCGGAAAATTCCGTGTTTCTTCCAATAATAAGCGAAAGAGGAATAAAAAGACAAAAGTAATCCTGTCAAATCGCTTAACGCATTACTTACCTCTTTCGATCGCGTGAACGCTTATTTTCGTTAGGTTCGATCACGCGACGGCATTGATAAGCATCTGAAAAAAAAAAAGTTTATTAGTAATTCTTTTACCGTGGTCTCCGGACACGCACGAATAAAATCATCCTCTATCAAACGATGATACTGTGACGCAAAGAAAAACGCAACGATTGATATAAAGAGATTTATTATCATTTAATAACAGTAACATCGATATTTTAGTGAGGTCTAAACTCTTCATTGAATCTAAACATCAAAATTTGTCGAGAAAATTAAGTATTAGCACAACAGTAACCGATAGGTATATATTTTCTCTTAAAATGACTCCATCTAGATCTAAAATACAAATGAGTTAGTCATCTTCTTGTGTAAATAATCAAACGGATCGCTAAACAAACCAGACTTAAAATTATTTTCGTTGTCTACATAAAAGCCGTTATTTACAAAAGAAGACTACAACCTATAAATATTGACTAGCGATCGAGGACAAAAATAATCTCGTTAAAGGTACAACGTGCTCGGAACGTATTAACAATGTTATTCATCCCACAGAAAAGAAGCGTCAACAAGGCTACATAGGAATGTTAAAAAATATATAATACAAGATTAATAACAATACTCAGACGACTAATTAAAATGCATTAATAAATAAACCTGGTAACAACCCATCACATGACGCAGCACCCGATCCGTCCACACAAGGCGCGGCTTTATTGTAAAATTTGATTTTAGACGATCACGAAACAGTGTGCAGTCTTTTCGAATTACTATAAAGTTAATAACAATGGAATATGTGCATTGAAGTTGTTAAACTCGAACCGCTACTCCTCTTCTTGATTTCTAGCGTAGTAAAAATTAACCGCTCTGCAGAGATCGTAATCAGCGGCAAGAACAACTTGTACTAATTGTTCTCTCGGGGCACTATCACCTATTATATCCCTTAATTGGCTGATGCAATTATCGAGTCTCCCGGCGTCTTGTGCTAATGGAAGATCCTCGATCGAGCTGCTGTTCGACTGCTGATACTGCAACGAAACAATTATATCGAATGCATACAAAAAACCAACCGCCTCCAGCTCAGCTTACGTCAGCGTGGTGGAAATTTTGGCAGTCGGGGATCTTATGGCGTTCCGATGTACTCGAATCTGGACTAGTGGGTGTAACGGACGAAGGCAGCAATTGTTCCATTGTCGTGGATTTGGCCGGAGGCGGCTGCGTCCAGACACAATCGAATATTTCGGCTTGCAAGGCGATGGGTAATTCGAAGAATATCTCGCATTCGGTCAGTTCGTGGTGTTGCGCTATGAAATTCAAGCAGAAATTCTGGAACGACGAGCTCAGTCAATAAATAATAAGGCGCTGGACGCTTGAATGTATCATTTACTTTTAAAATTCGAGCGTTGTATTGATCGGCCATGTTGAAAAAGTACAATGCCGAATCCATATCTATGCTGTGCTGAAGGGCGTACTCGCAGGTCTGTTTCAACGAGTCTACTTCGTATCGGTCGCTTAACAACAAAAGCTCAACCAGCTGCTCGATAGAAAGGGAGTCGTCTCTAAGACAACCGCTGTACAGATATTCCAGAAAGATACGGAACAGGAACGGACTCGTATCGTGGATAATTATTTTCCTGGAAGTCGAAACATTAAGTGACGCCAGAATTATGAGAAACGTACGATAAAACGATGGAAAATTGACACAGTGGGAATTTCGGGTTTTTTGCGTTTTTCAAAATGATAATGTGACTTAAAAAAAAAAAGTGAATCCGATATTCACCTGTTATAAAAATCTTAAAAAACGCGTAGGCATTTTTCCTCTACCACGCCTTAAAAATTTTACCCGACCACTCTCCAGTTAATGGACCATTACTGCCTACACGCTTGTGCTTCTTAGCGTTCTCGGAGCTTAGGAAGTTTACATAAACTTCCAAGAATTTAGCCAAGTTTCGGAAGGTACATTCGAAGTTCGCTCAGTTCCGATAAGTCGTAATTATTTGATTCGGTCCCAGAAGACAGAGCAAGTAAAAACACAAAACACATTCGCACAATTTCAAACAGCAACGTATGTATGCACGCTAAACGCAAACCGTACTTCGGTATGACATTCTCCAACTGTTGCGTAATTTTGACAACTTCCCAAAAGAAATATGATAGCAACATCTGATGCACCCTTAAGAAATCTGATTCAATTTGGACTCTGTTGGCTGGAAATCGGAATAGAGATTTATCTGAGTTCCAAGATTCGTACAGTTTTAAACTGATCGTTGACATTGATTTCTACGCACTTTGTTCGTATTTAAATACTGAAAAACGCGTTATCGATTTGCCAATTTCATTTGCTCGCACGACTACCCATTTCATGAGTGCCTTTTTATATATAGGTTATCTGAATAAGACGTTACTGCCCCTATAAATAATAAAATGGCTGATGATAAGAAAAACACAAAGCAAGATAATAAATAATATAATTCTAAATTCCCCCACGAAAAGTATTGTGACCTCATTTCATCAATTTACACAGAACGGCAGCATTGTCAGTTTTAGGAACTTTCCTTTTGTGTAAATTAATTTATATTATACTCTCTCCAATATGTTAACTCCTTCAGCTTATGCAAAATTTGGTAATTCATTTGAGATGTCAAAAAATGATGAAGTCTATGTTTTATTGTCACTTTGACGTTTGAAGTTTAAAATATGTGTCACGTCGCAATCCAATGTCAGCATGCCCACAGTTACAAAAGTGACAAAATTAAAAAAAAATACATCCAAGATTTTCTGGCCGCGACTGTGTATTTACATTTGCAAACTTGAATTAGTCACACCCTACAAGAAGCACACTTGATTCCGATTAGATAAAATTTTTAAAATAGAGCCAACATTCATTCCGTCAGTCTTTATTATTTTCTTATAACACCAACCTGCTTTACAACGAAAAACGAGTTTATACCTAGTCGCAGTGAGAAATGTGAAATTTGCACGAAAAACAAAGCAAGCTGATTAATTTCATAAAAGAACTTACTTGTCGATCGCTTCTCTCATCCCCGACAACAAAGCCCTTCTAAACCAATCACATCTTGCAGCCACGATGACTCTGTGCGCTTTGATAGTGCACTGCTCTTCTTCAGAAACTTCATTTTCGCTTTGTTCCGTACTCACCCCACTTCCAACGATTTCGAATTCCATATCAGTGTCAGTTGCACTTTTGAACATTTGTAAAGCGAGTTTCGATAATACGCTATTGTTGGAAGATGGTGGAACGCACAGAGATTCGACCAAGTTCAACTGAAACGTAATGTCTTCATGGTTTTCACTAAACATTCACCAACTCGTTCACCTTATATCCATGATGATGTTTGGGAGTGGAGTTGCATGAAGTTGGTGACATTTTTTGACAATCGCTCGAATGCGCCGCTGTGGACGTGACATCTAATAAACCTAGAGTCTGAAGAGATTGGTTGAAAGCGTCTCTTTGAACTAGTTCGCAAAGTTGTAAAACCACTTCTTGCAGCATATCTCGATGGGCCACTAGTTTTTGTAAAATGCCGGACTGAAAAAAATGCAACGTGTTCGTCGGATTTTTTTTAACTAAAGGAAAAGTTGGTTTATTAAATGTAATACTTCCAAAGTGCTGACTTTTCTTGATGTCATCTATCGTTACGGAAAAAAAAAAACTAATTTGCAATGCGTTTAAAAAAGCTTCTATTGCCGACGAGACTTGGTGTAAATTTTGGAATATCAGATCGCTGCGTTAATCGAATAAATACACACAAGTAACATCCGTGTAATAATGTAATGGACACAGACTTAGCAGCTTGCAGCTTACTATTATGACCCTGACTTGTTTTACACTCAATTATTTACGTAAAACGTTACTCCATATTTCGTGGTAAGAAACGAGGCGGCATTCAGCAGGGACGAATGTAGTACTAATATTCAGTAAGAACTTAGAATATTTAACCACAATCGCCTTTCGTCTTCTCCAACAGAATTATTATCTATGCTAAATTTGTAAGCCTAGTTGTTCAGAGAGTGAGAGACATGCAATCACCTGTCCAGGAGCAAGTGTGACAATAAAATTTTTATTTTTTAAAAATATAAAACCCACGACTAAACATGTTAATAAATATTAAAATCGTTTTTCTTGAATCCAAAATATTATCATTAAAACGGTTAGAAATTTTCGAAAACCTTTCCGAGCGTCTTTTTAACCACAATTATAAACTTACGACTTTGCTGGTGCCGACTTTGAAGCAGAACTTGAATTCTCTCCATTCGAGTTTTTCGTCAAAAGCTGTCGTCACATCTTCTAAACGTAAAAGAAATATTGGAAGCTCTTCAATGAGCTGTTCCAGATTTCTAGCAATCGAACGCACTTTTTGCGCTGAAGACATATCGTTAAAATTCTCCCTGAAAACGACCACTGTAGACTTTTCACTACATCAAATGACGAATACTTTTTCTGGATTAATAATCCCAGACTGCACGTTATGTGTTCGTGAAAGTTTCGCAATTTCGTCAATTCTCTTATGTGCAGAACGTTCCGTAACGACTTTCCCAACATATCGCCTACTCCTGATTTACTCCTGGTACCATCATTGGGCGAAAGCACTTGAATTATTTGTTGTAAGGCTTTTTCCACCTGGACAATCAAGGTAGAAATCGTGTCTAATATAATTTCAATCTGGAAATGACTGGTTCAATAAGATTTTCAACATCGGGGTGAAAAAATACTTCAGGAACTAAGAAAGTCGCAACTTCCAGACGCTGCGCCGCTGACATTGAGCTAAAGGTATTTTTCAGAGCTTGCAAGAATCTTTGCAGTTGCATAAGGAATATGGGAAGCCTCGATTTTGCATAACGTATTATTTCATGCCTTTCTTCTCTAGACAATTCGTTTCTGCGCTTAGTAAACAAATCACAGAGTAAGAGCAACTTCACGGCAGCTAAAAAAAGTTTTTAGAGTAGTAGTCGCGAGTAGCTAGATAAATTACCAACTGCCGCATCCCTGATTGACTGTTTAACAACAAAACAAAGTTTAGCAGGATTTGAGGTGATGTTTTCAGAAGACAAATGGTTGTTCCTTACATTAAAATGTTCGATTATTTGATTCATACTCCCATGCATATCATTAACTAGTCCAATTATCTCTAACAAAAAAAAAAGACAATAAAAAAAACCTTCCACTAATCGCACTTACGTTGCTTTAGTGCCATGTTCTTCAAAAATAGATTACATTTATTGACAAGCTTACTTAAACTGGGGTACTGAGACACAGCGTTTAAAGCCTGATGAGCTGTAACTTCTGTTAAAGTATCGGGCAGGCATTCTGCATAGAGGAAGTGTAAAATCGTGCCTAAAACGTCTTCAGGAAGATTACTCAAAGGACAAGACTCAGCAGACCACTCAATGCCACTGCCTTGCAATTTCAAGATTGAAGAGTGAACCTTAAACTGCGCTAAAGTCACGTAACGTGTTTTTTTTAATATAAAGAAATACTATAGTTACTTGTTTCTTATTTGAAGAAGTAAGAATCAGATCTGAAAAGTACCCATCTTCTAGTGCTGGTAAAAGTGAGAAAGGTATTGAGTGGTATTTGTCCGACAATTCCTCATATACGCGCTTACAATGAAGGGTACACCAGCTTTCGCACGTCATGCTGACATTATCTCGAGGCTCAACTTGGTCACACTAAAATTGTATCTCTATTAAATAAAACAGATAAATATATAGACACATTACTTGGAATTCCAGTACGTGACCTGCATATGCTCCAAAACGCAAAACGACCCCTGATATTGTTGTACTGTACAGTTCGTAAGTCTCGCATCGGAACAGAGGTACAGACTTAAGTTCTTCAGATACAGTCCAAGTGACGTCTCCATTCTCATCTAACCGAAATCGAACACTGCAAAAAGCGCGTTACGTGGAAAATTAGGAGCAGGAAAACTCACCCTTCCAGTCCTTGATTGTCGCTGTACGTTCCATAATTGTACCCGCATCCGATTATCTATAAATTTTAGATAAATTTACAAAATAAATAAATGTGACAGCTGTCAAAACAAACAATACATCAAAATAAACAGAACGATAACTTGAAATTGTTCGGTGAAAATTGGTCGATGGAGAAAAGTTCGTCGCAGAATAGTGTGCATAACAGGTAATGATTGTGTATTGCGTGATTCTCACCTCCCAAGTTCCAATAAAAGCATGAAGAGCCATACCGAATTGACATTTGTGTCTATGCATTTGTTGACGTTTGGGGACTTTGGGCTGAGAAATTGCTGTTGGCTGCAATGAAGGTGATTTCAACAGAAGTTGAAAAGTGAAGACTGCAGAGAGACGAGTTGGACGAGTGGTGGCGAGTCCCGTAGAGGTAACGAAAATAAATCGATATATTCCTGAAAAATCCAAAACGCAACCAACAGTACAGTTTCATCGCAGTGTGATACTTTGCATCATTTCTCTTTTAAGTTAAACATAGTTAGCTGTTTGGGTTTGATAATTTGGAAATAAACGTTAATTGTAATGTTAGGTTAAGAATCAACAACAAACAAATTCAAAATAAAAGCTCGTCAGAGCATCTCTTGTGCGGATAACGTTCTCTACACTACACTATATTACCTATATTACTAAAATCGTATCAGTATTTTCGTCGTTTGAACACACTCTGATCAATTCTGTCAAAATGCTAGTTTTAACATGTAATATCTAATACTACGGCAATGTTGTTATATCACTACAGTACTTTAGTTGTTACACAAAACACAAAACAGACAACTATGTTTTACTCAAAACAAAAGGTATGAAAATATACAGTTGCCGCCAAAAAATTTCAGACGTCAATGTCATTCAGTCGTCAGATAGTGTAAAGCAACCTTTAGATGTTTCTAACCTAAATATTTGACAGTCATTTTTAACTTTTACATTTGACACTTACATGAATGTAGCTGTAGCCATGGCCGACTAGTATAAACATTATGGCCTGTCCAAGAGGTACCATACGTGTTGCCATCTATCTACACTTAATAATTTAGCATAATTTTAATTTGACTTGACATTATGAGACTTTAAAACGTGTAATGGTGGTTTGTTTCGGTATGAATGCCTTTGTGCCTTTCAAAAAGTGTTAATAATTCTTTTGTCGTTTTTGAATTATTAAAAGATGGCAGCACGTATGGTACCTCTGGACAGGCCATAATCTTTATACTAGTCGGCCATGCTGTAGCGTAAGCTGGAATTTTGAAAGTTTGACATTCCAGCTGTCCAAAGTAATGACAATAAAGCATAGACTACATTAAAATTTTTGACATGACAGAAAAGTGATGTTTGAAATTTTTTGTCGGAAACTGTATATACCTATCAAAGATGGATTGAAATTGTATTTCTAGTTGCGTCTTGAATTTTTTATTTGTTTATTCGCCTCTCCTGAATCCAGAAAATTGATGACGTCGTTTCAAAAATAATTATTTACCTAAATAGTGTGTTTAAAAAAAACATTCTATCGGTGTGGTGTTGTCTGCATTTTGGTATTACTGAGATTTTTTTACGTGTTACGAACCAATGGCTTGTTACCAAATAATTGTTTTCATTACATAGAGAAGAAATAAACAGAAAAAAACATCATTAGGGAATCTGTGTAGGTAATTACTACTTAAAAATATGCAAAACAATCGATGAAACAATGTTATTTCATATTTTATGGGTCTTTGAACAAAAGTAATAAAACGAGAAAACTTTTTGACATATCAGTTCAATTGTACTCCGAATCATGAGTAAGGTATTCTTTGATTTTTTGTAAAATCAAAACTGCCGACATTTGAAATTTATAAAAAAAAAATAACTTTTCTTGAGTTTTATGACAAGTCACGATATTTGCTTAAAGATTACTTGCGTACTTGTAAATCTTTATCCGGACATTACTGTTTAATGTTGGGACATGATTAGTAAGTTTATAAAATTTTTATTATAAAAAAATCAGTGAATGTGTGTATCAAAAATCGATTGGTTCATCCTATATGACCGACATTCGTCGAACAGGCTTGGTGTCTGTCCACGTAAGTATTTAACTTAATGATTACATAAAGAAAAATCAATCAATGGCTTGAAGAAAATGCAAATGCTTTATTTGTTTGTAAGTTGTTAACACGCTGTTAAAAAGAAAAAAAGTATTAGATTATTAAACTGGTATAGTTTCAAAACACTTGTATCCTGTGATTTTCTCGATCACACACCAATATGTGTCCATTTGGCGTCATTGCAACACCTTCCAGACCTTTAAACTCTCCTTTGCCAATTCCCCAACAACCAAAAGATCGCAAAAAGGTTCCATCAGGATGGAAAATTTGTATCCTATTATTGCCCGAATCAGCAACACAAATATATCCCTGATCGTCAACAGCAACACCTCTCGGAAATTTAAATTGCCCGTCTTCTGAACCTTCCGAACCAAAGGAACTCAGAACTTTTCCATTCACATCAAAAATTTGAATTCTGTGGTTGTTAGAGTCGGAAACGACAACCCTGTTCGTGTTTGACACAGCAATGTAGTGGGGATGTTCGAGTTGTCCTTCCCTACTACCCATTGAACCAAATTTTCCTACGAACGTACCATCGGATTGGAAAACCTAGACGATAGATAAAAGTTTTAGACAGTTGTCGGATTAATGTTGTGGCCTGTTATTTACCTGTACTCTGTGGTTTTCCTTATCACAGACATAAATAAAACCTAAAGCGTCTGTCGTGATTCCCCATGGATAGTTGAATCTACCGTCGGCAGTTCCTTGACTACCAAAAGCTCGAAGAAACCTTCCGGACGGATCAAATACTTGTATTCTGTGATTATAACGGTCTGCGATTATATATTGGCCGATTCGATTAACGGCAACGCCGGCAAGACAATCGAATTCTCCTTCACCGTTGCCATATTGACCAAATTCTTTGAGAAATCTTCCATTCGAGTCGAACACCTGCACTCGATGGTTGGACGAATCTGCTACTACTATGGAGTTATCGGGACCCACGGCGACACCGCGGGGCCAGGTAAAACATCCGGCTTCGCTCCCCCGACTACCTATTTCGAACAGCTGTTGGCATTTTTGCAGGTACTGACTCCTAGGGGAGGTACCTGCTACTGCCACTGCGATACCTGCAAAGAAAACGCGTAATAAATTTCGATATATTCGTGTTAAATCAGACTCAGATTAAGCATAAATTTGTATCTTTAAGAATGTATTAAGCTTTTTCATAAGAGACTGCCTAGCAAGAAATCATCTCTTGGACAAAGCTCAAGTTGCTTTAGCACCAGAGGAATATCAACATAACTTTGAATCTTATGTTGAACCAGTAAGGAGGTGCCTGCATATAGCTATAAATATGTATTGCAGATACTCACCGGCCGCTGCCGTAGCTGCTGTAGGAGGGGTAGTGGGGGAGCCTTGCATGTTTTTTTGGTCGTCATCAGAGCTCCCTAATTCTGTCGACGACCTAAGCGGGAGACCGAGAGACAGCCTTCTCGCCGTAGTGGAACTACTCGAACCTGGTGAACCTGAATTCGTAGACTCCTTGTCCTTCCCACTATTCCTGTTTCCGTATTTATTCTTCAAGTATCTAGCCCAGGAACTGAGCGCCGCGCCATCTTTTTCCGTAGCGTTCGACGAACGATCTGGTGAGTTATCGCGCGATTTTAGGGCGTGCGAAGATCGACTTCTGGAAAGATCATAACCGGATGATGCTGCAGAGCCGTATCCGCGTGATGCCAAGTACGCTGTAGGATTCGACGATGTCGGCGATAGTTGTTCTTCGATGTCTTCGTCATCTCCAAACTGTTGGCTACTTTTACTCCTGGCTAAGCGTTGTCTGCGCTCCTTCAACGCCATGTATCTCGAACGACCACTACTGGGGTATTTACTGTCGGAATCGTCAGCCAACGTCGATCCGTACCTGTGGTCTTCTTCCTCCGGTTGAAGAGCTGCCGAACTTTTACTTTTATTAAGAAAACGGCTTGTGTAGCCGTACCGCGGCGGTTCGTCGTCTTGGACGGCCGACGTTCTTCTACCGTATCTACTTCGGGGAGGCGAGTCTTCTTTAGGTGCAGTATATCGCGATCTGGTGTAAGTGGATGATGATTCATCACGACTACTCCTGCGAGCATTTTCGGTGCTGCTATCTCTAGCATTAGCACTACGGGCCAACAACGCTCCGATGTCCGTCTTAGCCATTTCTTTCGTATCAGGTTTCGGTGTTGTTGTGTTATCGTCCGAATCTTCTTCAGATTCAGTTTCTTCCTCAGAACTGGTTTCGGTTTCGTCGTTGTCTTTAGCGGTAGTTGCAGGTGGTGTAGCAGTCTTGTTGTGAAGGAACCTACTCTGGAATTGCTTTTGAGGCTGCGCTTCCTTGGTCGATCCAGTCGACGATTTTCTCGTGCGTTCTTGAGGTGCTTCTCCTCCTCTAGACAAATATTTCTGTTTTACTTCTTCCGTAGTGAACGGAGCTCCCGTGCTACGCACGGCATTCGAAGAACCCGTAGATGTCTCAGTCGACGTATTTGAATCAGAACTCGCCGAACGAGTTGACTTTATATGACCAGCATCTGATGGTCTCCTAGCGGTTGTTGTGGTTTTCGCAGTTTTTCGTTGTTGTTGTTGTTGTTGTTGTGGTTGCTGTTGTAACGAAGTAACAGATTCGTCGTCTGATTCTTCAGCGCTGGAGATGGCCTGAAGAAAACATTGTGTTAGGATCTTGAAAATCTCTTCATGCTTCACACACAAACAGAGGAAGGAGTGGATAACGCGCTTGTGGAGACATGCCAATGTGTAATCGAGTTTAATTGTGGACACAATCACAATGGACGGGAAACAAACACTTATTCTAATTATGCTAAATTGATTTAATCAGGTACTTGTACATGAAGTTACGGCTCATCTAAACTCACCTCAGGAGCCGGTGTTTTTCTTTGAGTGTGCCTTTCTTCCGCTGCAACTCGCTCAACAGGTCTAGTTTCGGTTTCGGCTGAGGTCGTGGCACCTTTATTTTGTTTCTTAATTTTAGCGATCTCATCTTCTTCGCTTACTTGTCTGTTGGCCGGCGGGGGAGGCCGTTTCGGAACGATTTTGGGTTGAGGAGCTGGTTGCGGCGGCGGAGGTGCCTCTTTCTCTTTCTTTTTACCGCTCTCATTTTCTTGGAGCTTCTTCATCACTCTGGGAGAATCGGCGAGTCTGGTGATGCCGCTCAGAGGTCCACGAGCGACGTCTTCCGTATCTAAGACCTTCTCCCTTTCAATTTTCTGTTGTTCTGTGAATCTGACACCCCTGCCTGGCTGCTCGCTGTCAGAATCGTTATCTTGAGCGTGTCTACGGAATCTGCTATACCTCGATCTCGCAGGACGGGTATCGTCGTAATCGTCACTATAATCGTTACCTCCCCGACCGTATCGATCAGTGTATCGCTCAGTTTTCGGTCTCTCTCCGAACTTTCTCCCTCCGAGGAGGGGCTCGTCCTGGTTATCCCCATATCCTCCTCTATCGTAGCCTCTTTCTTCTTGTTGCCTAAACTGCGTTGCTAATCTATGATCGCTCTTAGATCTCATTAAGCCAGGTCCCGGTGGCTGCAACATTCCTGAGCCTTGACTGAAGTGTTGGTTTGCTAAGTTTAGATCTCCGAAACCAGCTACGTGCAGAACGAGTTGATTTGGGTCGTGCGCTAAAACCAACCGTACCCTCCGCGAATAATCGGTGTTTTCATACTCAAAATTCCGGATGAAGTCCACCGTTTTCAAGAAAATTTCTTTGGCATCCATCAGTTCGCAGTCGTCCCAAATGTCAACGCTTTCGTTCATGTGCTTGTCGGCCAGATCGCAGTTACTTAGAATATTTGAGATTTCCTGCTCCAGATTTTGCTTTAGGTTAGTCAAGCTTCTCATTTCTGTTCCTAAATAGCGATCGATCTCTCCTCTTAAATATTCCGTACGATCCTTCACGGCTTTGGAAAGTCTTCTATAAATCTCCTCGACTTCCTCGCTGACCGACGAGCAATTCGACTGAATACTTTGAGTATTTTTTTCGACTAGAGCTAAAGTATCTTGTAATCTGTGAAGCCCCCTTCGGATCTGATTGTTTATTCTCGAAATTTCCCGCCTAAGAATCTCCATGTGAGCCCCCTTGCATTCCTCACAAATTTTCTTATCACAGTGCGAACAAAAGCTGCAGTAGGCTTTTTCCGAACAGACGTTACATCGTTCCATAACTTGGCCACTTGTTGGATCCGGGAGCTCTCCAGTTATTTCGATGTGAAGTTCTAGGAATCTTTGGAGGGTGACGTTCGTAGGGAAACCCTGTACCCCTTGGTAGGGGATGCGGTGCTCCGCTCGGCATTCCGGACACTTCACCTAAAAAGGGATAACATCGATGCAGATCAAATTTACCGACATCGTTTTACTTGATTCTGATTAGCTTCTGCGTAGACTTGACGAATTTATGACACGAGCTGTTACGATTCGATACATTTTTCGATTAGAAAGTCAAATACTTATTATAGGTACTTTCTATTTTGTTGTGGGATACATTTGTTGACTAGGCAGGTTACGGGATAAAAATCTTTACGACGTCCTTAAATTTTTCGATTATAAAAATTTTTTAATGATATAGAAGGGATAGCTTGCTGAACTGCTTACGTTCTGGAATTATTCGAAGAAAAGCGGTAACTGAAAAAGTTATATTGAACAATCAGGTGTTTCGTCTTGAAAATCTGTTTCTGCATACTACGCTTACATTTTCAATATTATTGTTATTGTTAATGTTATGAATTGATGTGGTTCTGTTTAGTTAGTTGTAGAAAAACAAGCTGTGTCGGTGTAGATAGTACGACTTTGTCCATCTATCGTTTTTGTGCAGAAATTTATCAGAATCAATAATTTCAAGCCTCAAATTGTCGTTTTACTTCAAACACTCCCCCATTACTGTCAAATCAGTGGGCGTTGCGTTGCGCATATTTTGGCAGACACGAAACGCGTAAATTTATTTCGAGAACTTTATGTCGATTTCAGGAACTAACCTGCCTACGTACGTAGTCCACGAGACCTTCCAAGCACGGTTCCATGCAAAAGCTGTGCTGGCAAGGCAGCAGCTTGGGGTTCCTGTAGCGGTCCAGACATATGGCGCACGTTAAAAGCTGCTCGAATTGTTCCATTCTTCAGTCTAAAAATTTTTGTCACGTTAAAATCGACATGCATTAATTTCGCACAGTAGCTGAAATAAGTCAAAAATAAAACCGACGTTGAAAGAAAATAACAAGAAAAATCGCCGCGGAAAACAAAGAGAAGCGCAGCCAAGGACGCATGTTATTCACGCTTCAAAAATAATTTAACTTAAATACACAGAAGTTTCCAGATGTATAACACGGATGTTAAAAAAAGAACGCTATATTTCTGGGAGGAAGTGAAAACGGAAGGTAAAGGACGTTCAGACAAAGGATGATAAAAATAAGGACAAGTTTAATGACATATGGTGACCGGTAAACAAGTTGCGGTCAAAATTAGGATGATTTAATGTGGATTTGTACTTTTTTTTAATTCGAATTATATGTCTCATATACTTCCACACTTCATCGACTTAATTAACGATTTTTGAATAAAGACGATCATTTTTTAAAATGAAAAGTGGGAAATGTGGGAGAATAAAGAAAAACAAATTCTTACACCGGTTTTAGACGAAAATTTTAGGTCACATTTTTTGTGCAGTACTGCGAAAATTTCGACAGTTAATACTACAACTTGTAGCAGTCATGGTAAGCGAAGATTGTCCTTTTCAATTAGATATCATGTTTCCTACAGTCAAGTACATTGAAAAACTCAGGAATTTTTTTAAATTTTTTGACTGATACCTGTTTGAAAAGTAAAAATATGTAGTAGGTACATATATTACGTTAAATTACTTCTCACAATCATTTGCACACAATAAAATGACAAAAGTAATAAGTTTATTCATAGATATAATATGATGTCTGAAATTATGAGCTCTACTCGTATTTCGATTTGTACTTTTGACGAAGCTCACTGAACTTTTCTCAAACTTACGACAAAAATCGCTGCTGTGAGTTCAAGGTACCTTCCTTCTCAGAACAGAGTTTAAAATTAGAAAAAGAAAAACAACTTGTAGTGTTTTGTTCCGGGTTGTCAGAGTGCGAAAGTTTATATCAAGCTCCCAATTTGTCCACGTCCACTTCGCTAAAACACGAAACGAAAAAAGACATCAACACGGTAGTTGGGAGAGAATGCAGCTCGAAGCAAAAAAGGTAATGGCGCCTATAAAATGTCATTTCTTTAATTCTCCGTCATTAGGAATTTGGAAAAGCTGCCAGCCTAAGTGGCAAGGACGATCACGGTAGTTTGAGTACAGCAAATGCCTTGGGGTTAATGAATCGAGCCTGTTTTTTCGGCGGTGTTTTCAGCGTGCGTTCGCCGCAGTTTGGCAAGGGTCCACCTTTCAGAGCTGAAAATCGTGTACATGTAACTGCTAAATCCCTGAATATAGAGGCACTTTAAATAACCGTGATGCGTGCGTGTGTGTGTGTGTGTGCGTGCCCTCCGATTGGGTGGAGACTGTATACACTCTGGCATCCACGGCGAGCGTCCCGACGCTCTCGACTCTCTCGATGCTGACGTCAATATTTAAAATTAGAGAGATTCATTATTATTACTTGCAGATTTGACGCATATCCCGTTTAGGCCTACAAAACTGCATACTAATTTTCGCATACTTTTCAACTGGTTGCAACTCTTCGACCGAAAACTTTCTTAATTGCAAGCCGTTTTTAATTAATTTTCAAAATTGTGAGGTTCGTTAATTGCGAGGAGAAGGAAGCCATTGTCGCTATGCAGGCAGGCGACGCAGCTCAAAGTGAAGTGTTAGAAAACAAATACAAAAGCAGATTAAAACAGACCGTTTTGTGCATGCAGAAAGAAGAAGTCCATGAAAATAAGAAAAAGCACAAAACGGCTTGCTTTACGGCAGCGAAAGCTCGCGTTGACACTTGTTTTCTCTACCTTGATATCATTAACGATTACCGTAAGATCACAGCACAAGCATCACACATGAGTTTTCTGTGAGGAAAAATTTTCGCGCGTGTTAACTGCTCCGACCACTGACCGGGTGTGTGCAAGAATACGCGATTGAGGGACTATATCTTATTTTAGACGTACGATGTACACCGTATGATCTAGTTTCTCGAATTGAACACCCAACATCGATGCGTTTTAATGAGTTTGTTCTTTAGTTGGCACCAGTGTGTGGGATTTTTGCGTGGGCCTTATGATTTTCGTGATGAAAAATAAAACAGTGTGACGTCGAAAATTATTATATTTTGGTTAAATTTAGGTTTCCCAATGGGTTTTGGACAAGAGTCTGGCCGAAATAGGCGAGACGTGTCTGACGAAATTATTTCGACTTCGCGTCAGCCAAATAAATAGTTTCCTTATCATTCATGCCAAGTATTTTATACAGACGAAAAAAATTATAGTGTCATGAACTCGCGAAACATTTTTTACGAGCGATTCCAGTTCTAATAACCATTTTCATTACATAAGACATTTTTTCATCTTTGCTTTTGTCGGCCGCTTTCGCGCTTCCGTGTCGACATATTATGTGTAGTTGTGGATCCGTCATAAAGAAAACGAAGCTTCGTATATATACGCAAGGATTTTTTCACTACTTGTCATAAATTAAAGAAAGTATCTACTTGACAATACTTATCATACTTTGGGAAAGTTCTTTATATTCGTCCAACCGACTAGGAAGTTGTTATTACTGATCATAGTATTAGACTAATGCAAAAACAATTAGAATCAATTGTGTTTTCTTAGGTTTTATTGCGGTAAATAATTGCATATGCTAAAAAAGAAATACAATTTTGAATTTGTTATCTTATCAGGACCTCTCTTACCTATGCTACTGAGTGAAGAAAAACTAGTTGAACTTTCATGTTAAGAGTACTTACTTTAACCGATTTTCCTAGTTGTTAAGTAGTAAAGACATAAAAAAGTATAATTTAATAGACGCTGGTTCGAAAATAGAAGAGTTATAGCATTTTTCTATTTTTTGCATGGCACGCCTTGGCCTATTTAAAACAATGAAATTAACACTTTAAAAATATTCACACCGATAAAATCTATTTCACAGATGTGATGAGAACTTTGAGAATTAATTCGGCAAATTAAATTTTAGACGTCGACAATAAGTATATAGAACGATAATTTTCAGTTAGCCACAAATATTTCAGAAATTTTGTTTTGCTGCATTTAAATAAAGAATAATTGCCTTCACACTACTTTGGCCATGTGTCAAAACAGAGAGACACTAAAATATCTGACCATGATAGTTTGGTTATTACGTTATTAGAATACCATCCATCATTTCAACAGTAGGTACTAACACATCAGAGATACCTATGATAATTACAGTGTATGAACATATTATAAATAAATAAATAAATACATAAATAAATAAATAAATCAATACATAAATAAATAAATAAATAAATAAATAACATAATATGTCAATATTAAGATAAAGAGTGTAACAAATAAAATAATTTATAGGTTATTTAAATCGCAGGTATGCAATCAATAAAATGACTAGTATTTTTACTTCCCTAGTACATAGTTACTCGAGTCCATCGGATGAATGGCCAATTTTATATTTTCTCGACGTTTAATGACCCCTACATTACGAAAAAAGTAGCCCCCCGTTTCCGTCTGTCTGTCTGTATCCATTTTATTAGGCACGTAATTTCCGAAACTGCTGGACTGATTGTTGTCAAATTTTGTATGTATGTTAGAAATATCATGTACATGGTCATGCTAACCAAAATTTTGATAATCATTCCCACCAACAATTTACAATTTGATGACGTCATTTCAAAGAATTCTATGTTTATTTGAATTAACTGTTACATAACAATATATCATCACGGTTTATCCTTAGCGCAATACATCCCGATCGTAGAGTATCGGATAAGTGTTTGGGCGCGGACACAAACTCCCGGGTTCAATTCCGAGGCACTGTGCTTTTATTGTTTTTTTTTTTCTCTTTTTCCCACGCATTGTGTATTATCTATGTTTATGGCGTGCTAACAAATTTTTTATTGATCAAAGTAAGAACGAGTTACCCCCTCTTTCTCGAAAAGGTGAGAATACGCCCGTCTCTATTTAATAAAAATTATAATACTAATAATATTCAGAACATTCTGTTCAACTATGGCTTAATCAATAATTTTAGTCTTGTGTTTTGAGGCGACGAATTCATTCAAACAAAAATAAATTTCTATGTGACATTCTTCCGATGTATAAACAAGCAATTTCAAGTGCTTGTTTATACATCGGAAGAAAGCTTGTTTATTCAGTAATAAAGCTATCTTCTTATGTAACTTTTTTCCCAGCAGTCTGAAAGGCCGTTTAATATGTGCTTTAAATATATTTTACATTGTACGTACCTGTGCAATTTGCACAATCCCTTGTAATTTGCGCTTCCAGAGTGCAGGGACTGCGAGACTGTTATTCATGCCATAGGTTTTTATTTTATAGAGGTTATCTTAAAACAAGCATATTAAAACCTATTTTTATAATTTTTCAAAGAAGCGAGGGAAGTTCTGCCGAAATAAATTTCAACCATTTTTTTTTAAATACACATCCGTGAACAAATGTATTACAAAATTGGTGGATATCTAGACAAAACAGTTCTGCTTGTGTATTAGATCAAATTCTTTAGTTTACTATTTATATGATTTATTAACTTTTCGTAAGCATGGACACATCATTTTTAACATACTAATGTACCTACGTATTCGAAACATTAACATTAGTTTGCTGGATTTTATATTTATAATTAATAAAATATGGAGAACATGTTCGTTAATTAATAAGACAGAATTATGCTAACGTGTAATATCTTTGCAAAACAGATCAATTGCATTATTCGAAATGTTGCATGTAGAAAACGGATTATTCAGCGGGGAGCACAGGGGGTACTTGATTTGAGAGAATTCTAAACTTATGTTTAGAATTCTCTCTATAGTAAGGGAATATGCCTGACACTTTACTGTGCCCATTGTTATAAAATGTATCTAGACGTTAAAGAGGTTTAAGAAAAAAAAGCGTCTCTGTCATTTCCCACATAAGAAAAGCCAGTAATTAGCACGAATTAAGCGGAGAGTAGAGAGAGATAACCGGCTAATAGTCTGGCAAAACCGACACTTTTTTATTTCGTGTTTTCACAGGAAAAAAGGAAAGTGGAAGAAGCCGAAAATTAAGGGGTTAGTTATATCGTCGAAAGAGCAAATAATGTTCCAACTTGAAAGTTAATTATTAATTAATGACATTTGATGATTTAGACGTGGAGTGAAAGACAATGCATTTAAAAAAAGTTGTAACTAAATGAATAAATCTAAAGTGCGTTCTAAAAATAAATTCCTCATTTTGAAATCCATTTTATAAACATTTAGTTGATTTTACGACGTAAGATGTAGTGTATGTAGTGACAAGGAAATTAATTAAAAAAAATATTTAACCTCTAACAAAGTACAACAATAGAAATTTGGCTTTACAACCATTTTTAGAAATGGTATCGTTTTTATTTTAGAGGTTTTTTTTTTTTCATTTTTCGTTGGGTATGTATATGCAATTCATCGAGATAGCACAAAACGGCACAAAACTAAAGCAATTTTTAAATATACATACAGGCTGCTCTGTGTAAAGATTGCACATCACAGTTGCATTTCTTTAAATGGAACAATCTATATATTTTTTCATATTTAGACTCTTTATGAAGAAAGGGAAAACATGATATTAGACACACGGTTTTTTTTTCTTGAACGATTTTCAAGATATTTGCTTTCCTATATTAAAAAAGGTCATATTTAAAAATTCACAGCTCTACTATTTCTAAAGATATATAAATTTGGAATTTGGCTTAAAGCTTTTTTGTCATCCCGTCTAGACATACGTGCACATATTTTTAAAATTCGGCAGATTTTGTCAGCAATAATAAATCCTAGTTACTTTACGCGATTTTAAAAAGTCGATAATTTAAAAAAAAACGGCGTATTTACATCGAACCGAGTTGGTGCAATACGCCCAACTTCGATGATTGGGCATATAAAAAGTTTAGAAGAGTGCCATGGTTCTCGTCTTCATATTGACAGACACTTGTCCATAGCAGAAAACTCCAACTTTCGTCCAATTACAACTTTTATCAGAACTAGCAGATGACGAACAAACCGGATATCGAATCCATGCGTCTGAAACATTAGGGATATTTAGTAAAAGAGAAAAATTGGCACAATCGGTACGGCGGGGAATTAGATGAGTATTTTTGATTCGATCATAAGGCCGTTACGTCAAGCAGCGACAACACCAAAATTTTCCATTTGAAAATTAAGGACATCCGAGCTACGCGGTAGCCACTAATCTTGTGGAGATGTTTATGCTGAAGCCGTAATGTGTGTCTGGGGCAGCTTAATTAAATTAACTTTAAATTGATTAAAGTTTTTAAAGTGAAAAATGTGGCCAACAAAGATGAAACATTTATCTAAATAACGTTCCAGAATGAAAGAGGGACGTATAAAAGTGGCGTAATTTGCTGAAAAAATAATGCAAAGTATATGGCCCTTGACGCCGCGTCGTAACTCTCGAGATGCTCTGTGTATTCGCTTACAAAGTAACAGATATTTGATTATATTTAAAACAACGCTGTCGTTGCTAGGTTAATTACACGGAACGGCTATAAAATGTTAAATAATAATCCGACGCGAACGACTTTGAGACGATATTAAAATTAAGAATACTGAAACAAAACCTTTTGTCTGCCTTAAGAGATGAGTTAGCACAATTTAAACGCTGCAATTTCAGACATCTTATTTTTACCTTTCATTGTTTCAGGTCGCTGAAAAGATATTTCGCAGATTAATCTGTCGTGTTTTCGATTGCGCCTCATGTGTTCTAGTTGTTACAGGAGTTAGGTATCTGTGTTATTTGATACAAGTCTGATTTTCTGGTATTTATGTTCGCCACTATCAAGTAGAAATGTCGAGACTTATCTGGGGCATGAACGGGATCCAGTGGATTTGCGGCTTTTGTGCATTTGTCGAAAGTCTATTTCAGGAGAGCAACCCTCAGTCAGGTAACGAAAAGCGAAAATAGGCAACGAGGACAAAATTCCGAGCTGTATTGCAGCAACCAGGTACCTACTGAATGCCCTTATTTATCGTAATCATAACATCGAATAAAGATACTTTCGGTTTACGTACGGGGAACAGTGCATTTTTACAAGTTGAGGCAGTGTTATTTTTAAAGAAACTAAACAAATAACTGGAGTCCATCATCTCAGAATCGGCGATCGGAATATCGACTGTCAAATAAGTTTTCAAACGCGTAATTTGTTCTTTAAACAACTACAAGCTTACTATTGCATTGTTGATATTATAGTATTTTTATCTTCTACGTCAAATTACCGTAAAATTGTCAGCTACTGGTTTTTTAATGTTTTTTCTCGTTCAGACATCGCTAAAATATAAATTTTCGTATCTATGCGACAAGCACTTGTTCACCGCACCTACATATGTACAACAAAACGTATTCAATCCACTTTGCTCCTTAGCTTGCGGCTTCAATTAGCACCTGGTGGTGGGTCTTTTCCCAGTCGACCAGTGCTAATCCGCTTTTCAGCCGTCAGATGGCTCCACCTGACGAGTGGCCGTGTCGCTGAAACCTGAACGGTGTGCGTATTTCAGGCTAGCGCGAGGATAATTATAGCACAAGGGTCAGAAACGGACATCACTCTTGGCTTGCTTCTATTCACGCTCTCTGAATTCATTTGACGCTCTTTGTTACACTTTTTTCTTAAGCTTCAAAATGTGCGAACACTTCAGATGGCGCTTCGGGATTGTCAGCCGCTCGGACTTGGTTGATTCGTAAGAAAAGTGCCTAAAGAGAAGCTGTTAAACGACTGATTGTAGGAAGACAGTCGAATCGTAGTTGTGCCAATTCTGATATTTGGAAAAAGTGGTCAGGACGCATGCCTCCATTATTAAACGAGAGACGCAGTCGACATCACTGCGGCGCGTCCAATAAAAATGTAACTATTATATTACAATTATGAAAGCGTTGCTGCAGCTTGCAACTGACGCTTTAATCGTTTGATGTAGCGTCGAAACTAAATTGAAATAAAAAACGCTTGTTGTATTCGGTATTAGTTTTTCCGACGCGACGAACATGGCGATGTTTCATGTTTAAAACATGAAAATGGAATGGATTGCGCTTTTATTCTGAAAAATTCAGCGATCTTTGTTCCACTTAAATATTCTGGCTTTTCGTTGTTCGGACGATTTCTTGTGCGTCCACTTCCTTGTCCCGTAAAGTTTGTTTCTTTATAGTTAAATTGGCCAAGTTTCGGGGTCTTTGTTTTTTTTAACATGCCCTTTAATAAATGTAAGCTACGATGCATTATATCACGGCGAATATTGTTAGATCTTGAGGTTTTCGCATTCAGTCTCAAGAGGATAAAATTTAATCTCGTCCTAGATACGTAAGTCGACAGTAATTCCGTCTGGTTTGTTAGTCACAAATTATATTCTGTTTCGTTATGAATGTGCACTTCCTAGTGATTTTATTTTGCAAATAAAGCCCCGTTTTATTTTCTGTGTGATATTCTGTAGGGGAGGTTGTGTAGCGCGAATGAGCTTTAATTTCGAGAAGCAACAATTTTAATGGTTTCCTGGAGTGAAGTATTTCATCAACATAATACATTTAGTGGTACCGAGAATATACTGTTGACAACAATATTAATAATAATAATAATATGTATTTTCGTTAGTGTCGAATTTCGTTTGTTTTTTTAATTCGTTATTTTAACTATTTACTCTTACGTATTTTTGCTCATTGTATTATCAGTAGCATTTTTGCTCTTCAATGTGTCATATGTTTTTCCTTCCTTTGTGGTATTTTAAGTTTAGCATTCTATAGTCTTACGTTTTTCCTTCTGTCCATTTTATGTGTTCCCTGGTTCGTGCGTATGGTCCTCTTCTGTATTTATTTGTCCTTGGATTTAGTATCTCGTATCTTTTAGCTTTCTGTTTCCTTGTGATGATTCAATGTTGTTAAACTTTTAAATTAATTTGTTCCGTTTTTATAAATGTTTCGTTTTTTTGAACATTGTTTTTCAATCGTTTTTCGAGTTGTCATCCTTTTAACGGATCTGTGTTGTATACACGAAATTGACACTGTATTTTTCAACACTAAAATAATAAAAAAGATAACCGTTCGGCAACAAAATATTCGCAACATACAAAGAACAATAAGTAGAATTCTTCTGAACATTTGACAACCAAGACAGCAAGGAACGAGGAACTACATATAAAGAACGAAAGCACAAGACGTACACTGTATACTTTCGCAGCTATAAAATAAATATGATTTCCAGTGTCTATTAATAAATAATATTTTATAAGAATTGGCACAACTTCAGATTTACTAGAAAATAAACCAAACAGCTGTTTGCTACAATAATGTATAAATACAACAAGTGCTTAAAATTATTATCATCCACAAATGACGATTAAGTGCTTAAAAAATATACCAGACTAGGGTTAACGAAACAATTGTTTTATATAATAATGTTTTGCTACTCCTTATAAAATTGAAAAAAAGAATACAAATAAGATGACGTTTTCAGTGAATTTCTGCTTTATTCAATTAAGTTATTATTCATGAATGAACGAACACCTCTGATGCCAGGGCTCTAAAACAATCTGTTATAATACAGAAGTGAATCAGAATGATAGTAAGTCTCATCTTCTAATGTACTAAATCTGTTGGCAAAAGTAGCCATTACAAATTCGTTGACAGATTTGTAATGAACAAAGACAGAAAAGCCGAAAGGTACCTACCTGTTTCTTGTCATTAGCTAAACAAGACGTAAAAATTAGTCTTACCCTTGGTTTCTCCAAAAGAGTGTTCAATAAGTTCATCCGAGGCCCTCGAGGGCCTTAGCTGTTAACTAGATCCCTTTATGGTAGCGTACGAAACCCTGTAACACGATATAAATAATTAAAAACAATTCTGACAAGAATAAAACTTAGTATAAGCCAAAAGGAGCGATTCGAGACTACCGAGAAGATCAGCAAATTTAAATATTGTGAAATGTTAATGTGCATTGTCCCAACGAAAGATGCCTGAAAATCTTTCCTTTAATCATGAGATATTTAAAATTGCTTTTTTTTAATAGAGAAAATACTTGGCACGGTTTCAGCAGAAAAGTATATTTAATGACAGCAGTTTATATAACGTTACTATCGTATAGTTTTCTATAATAAAAAGTTTTAACGAACGAATGCAAACCGTAAATGCTGGGATTAAATAAATACTCTCGCGAGCTTAGAGCGGATATAAAAATCGCCTTAGCGAATTTATGCCCAACATTTAAATTTCCATCGAGACAATATAATTATAGTGTCTTTGGAGTTTGAGCCCAGTACAAGAATGGCTTTATTCACCTTTTAAGGAGCAGTAAAAATGGGATTCAATATAGTTGGCCTGAAAACGAAAGCTTTTCGGTTGCAAAAATCGGTTTAATCTTACCGACTCTACATGATTTGGACGTTTGCATAAAGTAAATACGACTAGAGTTATAGGGAGTAAAATCCATTTTATTGGTGGGACTTTAGCATTCTAAGGGATCGGGATGCACGGCGTTTCTTTATATTATTCGTTTAAAAACTTTTTAGAATACGTTGCACAGTCCTTTCGTTTTGCCACTTGATCAAGCCACAAACACAGCCTAAGCGATTTTATTAGAAATTGGCTCCTCGCTTCGAATTAATAATAAATTTTTATATAACTCACACTAAATTCCACTGAATGTCGAATGATTCACTGATGGATAGTATGGTGAATATTTGATCAGGTTTTCTGATTGAAGTTGTTCTAGCCGGCAAAGCACTAGATGGACTGCAGGTGATTTCGCAGCGAGACTCTCTTACGATTCTCTGCCAACTCCACTCTAAGCTTGTCTAAATAGATTCGGGATGACTTTAGGATAAAAATGCACAACATGTATATTTGTCTCCGTGAATTTTTCACGAAACGTTTTGCCATAAGTCTCAAAAAACAATACATTTCGTACTTTGTAGGTCGTCCGGAGAATGCCAAACATAGATAATTAAAGGTGTAGTTTGGCCGGTCCCCGATGCCTCAAGGCTCTTTTGAATTTATAACTTGAGACTTAAATAGCCGAAACAGATTACAACAACTGCAAAAAATCGAAAATTAAAGCGAGGACAAAAGAAGTTATTTTCTTGTTACAGTTAAATTAAGGGGCGGTTTATTTAAACATTTCTTTACAGAAGGAAAAAAGTTTCATTTGTCGGTGTTGGGTTTTAGAAAATTAGAAGTTTTTTCTACGACTGTAATGAATATCCCGAAGGTTCGTACAATTTGTAAAAAGGAAAACATTGTGTTTCATCCTTTTTTGACAAAAGAGTAATATTTTCTTTGATTCTTATTTTCAGTTCACGTTACGTATTTGTGATAAAATACTCCTGCGCGTTTTCCGCAACATTTGACACTGCTTCTTTAAGGCTATTATTTTTTTATTATCTACATTCGTGTGTCGTCTCCTAAATTGATCTTGCAGTAGGAGAAAGAAAACATCGATATGCACAGCATTTTTATTGCTTTTTAGTATTTTAAAAACTCAGAGAGCTCTGCTGTGTATATAATAAGTTATGTACTGGTGTATGGAGTTTTAAACACACAGTGTTTCTACCATTGTTCGTTTAATAATAATTATATTCCACTGGATTTTTAAAAATTAGATAGAGGTTTATTTGTATAAAAAACACTTTTGTTTTAAATAAAGTAATTTCAGATAACTAGAAGATTATGCACCTTATGTACATAGGTGCACACTTGGAATTAATTAGTTTGCTAGTGTCTTCCCGTTTAGACCTGTCATTGTACGTTCCTGGATTTTGTTAAGTTTCTTTTTTATACTTTCTGCAAACTCATTTCTTTAGTGTCTCCAAACAACTTATCTTTTAGGGTAGTTTTAATATCTGTAATCAAAATTTTTTGAAAAAGAAAAACTACAACATTTTTAAGATTTTTATTTTTTGGATATTTCTTAAATACAGGCTGACTGCGAAATACATGCAAAAAAAATGGGGAATAGGTCACAAAGATCATGGTACCTTCAACCTCAAACTCACGATCGTGGTCGTGATGGGACAGAAAGAAGAAATTGGATTTTCGCAGCTTGTAGTGCATCCTACATTAAAAGAAGACGGTCACATACATACCATGTTGACAAAGTGCACGGTTTGGTGCCCGCTGATTGTCCACGTTGTGTAACTCACTTTTTGTCCGATGGAACTCCACATAGTCGTCAACAAGTACGATTTCAAGAGACGGTTTTCGAGAAACGTGTATTGGTTGGATGAAACAATTCGTTTGTGGAAATCAACAGTGTCCAGAAATTACACTATGCAACAAATTAAAAAAAAATAAAATTCACAGAATGCACAGTATGTAGTTAAAATTTCTTACCTCAAACTCAATTGAGGATTATGCTTGAAAAAATCGTATCACATCAGGTTTCAAAATGAATAGTGTTTATTGAATTTTTTGAAATCATACAAAATTAATAAGACAAAACTTCATTTTTCATTGAAAAAAGTCTGTTTTTTCGAACGATTGGCATTCCTATTGTAGCCAGATCTCACAGTATTCCTCTGAAGACACCAACAGAAGTCTGCAAGCATGGGTGGATACATAAAAGCGATATTTTTACGATTAACTGCAATCAAGTGTCCCAAAAAGTAATAAAAACAAAACACCCGTTATCTATATTTTGTGATGTGATATGGGTATAAAACATTTTTTTCTTTAGTATATGGAGTATAGGTACCCAACCTATCACATCAGGTTTCAAAATGAAAAGTGTTTATTGAATTTTTTGAAATCATACAAAATTAATAAAACAATACTTCATTTTTCATTGAAAAAGGTCTTTTTTTCAAACGATTGGCATTCCTATTGTAGCCAGATCTCGCAGTATCCCTCTGAAGACACCAACAGAAGTCTGCAAGCATGGGTGGATACATAAAAGCGATATGTTTACGATTAAATGCAATCAAGTGTCTCAAAAAGTACGAAAAACAAAACACCCGTTATCTATGTTTTGTGATGTGATATGAGTATAAAACATTTTTTTCTTTAGTATATGGAGTATACCCAACCTCAAACACTATCTGAACTTTCTGTGAATTTTTTAGTGTTGCATAGTGTTATCGAAGAGCTTCAACAAGTGAAAGTCGCAGCCGCTACTCAGGTATTTTTTTACCTATCAACAAACCTCTTGCGACGCTCTGACGCTTGTATTGCTAGTCAAGGACAACATTTTCAACATTTCTTGTAAAAAGGTAGTAGCATTCTAAGTTGCTCTTATTTCTGTTCCAATAAACAATGTAAAATCGTAGTGACAAGGACCAAACATCCGTCAGAATCAAAATTACCAAAAAACTTTCACACTGACCTTTAACGATGAATGAGTAAATGAATGAACGAATGATAAGCAGCAAAAAGTCGGTTTTACTTTTAATTTAAACTGAAAGTGTTTAGGTCGTTTTTATTCGAACGTTTTTCCAACTCTGTTTACAAGGTGGCTCAGTGCCTTCGTATCGAGGGTGGTTCATGGGGGTTTTGCCCCATTCGATTTTTAATTTGTTTTTTCTATATTTCGGCTCTACTAGGGTGGGGGATGCTGTGGTTAAAATATTTGCACATATTTCGCAGTCATCCTGTATAATTCTCAGATTGTACCTCAGCCCCCAGCGTTTTCCAGTTGTCTCGATGCAGATAAGTGAAATTTTCAGTTTTCCATCACCGAAGAGCGGTAATCATGATTCGAACTCTTAATCAGACAAGCTTCACATAGGCACAAGACCCCCTTTCGTCCCTTCCAAACAAACCTCTTTAGTCCATGATCTTGCAACAGAACTGTACGGATCTATTTACGCGTAAAATCTCCAGAAAGTTTGATTATAGGGAGCGCTGTATCAATTATTACAGTTTGAACAGCCATATAGAAAGACCCTCATCATCAGGGATGAAAGACTGGCATTTCAGACGTTCATTGTACGATATCACTTTCCTCGCACCAATTTATTGACCGAAACTCCAAACTTCTTTAATTATTATAGCATCGGGAGAGGTCCATGGTAAAAAGCGCCTGCCGCCCCTGCTTGCTCTCTTTAATACGAATTTATGCGTTTCGCTGGCAAAGTTAAACACATAAATAAACTATCGGTAACAAAGTATCGGTAAATGAGTATCGAGAAGCAACAAGGGTTTTCCATTAGCTTGCATACGCGTGAGGCAGCCCGCTGGACGGTATGCCGTTTGCTTTTAGTGGATCTTCTAGAGGAATCGTACGATTTTCATCAGAATAAAAGCATCAGATTTTGAAGAGGTTATTTATAAAGGAGAAATTGGAAAAATGACCATAGAAACGAACGTGTTTTATCAAGTTTGTCATTTTCGAGTAAGACACGTTACTTGGCCCATGATGTGCCTGCTTAAAAATAATTATTATAGGTCATCAGTGGTCGGCTCAGACCGCCCACTTAAAATACCTATCGCGGAAAATTTGAATTTTGACATGGCACCGACTTACAAATTAACGTTGCACCGATTACACAGAATTATCTCCCGAAGATACGTTTTTGGGCAAAACTCTTGCAGTATTATATCAAACGAACACTTACGACAGCAAATTTTTACACTATTTCTGCCTGAATCACTAGTTGCATGCAGAATGTGTTCCTACAACTTCATTGTCTATTAAATGCAACTAATATACTTGATGGTAAACTGATGTAAAACTTTACTGCTTACGCTATCCCGAACAACTAACTGATCATTGATTTGCTTTTAGCTAAATTGCTCGTCGTAATTTATTCACCGGTCGGTGATTTTCTCAACCGTTTAATTGTTTAGAGGGTTGAATGGGTAGCATTCTTGGAGTCAAAAGAACAAGATATCAGATGGATTAAGTGCATGTATAAAAAATAAATTGTTTTTTAATTCCTGATCTATTAAATTCTATGACACATATTTCGAAGAATTCAGGAACGAGCAAAGTTCTGTCTAAATAACTTTAGACCAGTTTTTTCCTACTGTAACATGGCGTTATATTGCCCTGATTAGAAATTTCTGTCAAATTAATAATAACCGGTTGGGAGGTATAACTATCGCTCGGGAAGTAATTAAATGTTTCATGCCCCTTTCGTACTCCTGTTTATGCTTAAAATCTAACGTGAATACAAAGCTTTTATCAGTAAATAAATCTACAAATCGATAAATAATGTAGCGTATTTACAGCCGTTTTCACATCTCCAGCGTAAGCTGTTTTCTTGACGTTTCATGATCCCTAGAGTATGAAAAAATATGTCTTCCGTTTCCATCTATCTGTCGAAACTACATAGATAAAAAAAGTCATGAGAATATAATGATGATACATTAATATGGGTAAGTTTATAAGCTAAATTAAGTTAATCGCATATTTAATAGAACGTCTAGCGACATCTGATTGGTGTAGAGTCGAGTCACATGGTATTTTAATGACGCATTGAAAATTCATTCGTGTAAATCGGCTCTAAATGTAATATCTAAAATAAGATCAAAAACGAATTGGAAAAAATATTATTATCGTTGGAACAAAACGTCGAGAATTGTAATGCATCTGAACCCTTCCGTAGATGAAGCAGTTTATTTTTTATTAAGATAAAGACAGCGCAATGGTCGTAACACAGAAATGCGACAATATACGCTTTCCAAAGTTGATATACTTAATGGGAATTTGTCCCACGACAGCTCAACTTTGTCTTTAACGGTCTTCATAAAGCAGGTTCTAAAAGATAATTTAATATTTCTCCTGCTTTCCACGTACTTTCAAAAAATATGTTTGTCTTGTGTCGCAGACAAGTCGCAAGTTTTTCGCTTTATGTTTC